AAGCAGCCTTCGTAATCGGGCCAAAATTTTACTATCGACTCTAAGTTGATTTCCGTTTAACTCTCAGAAATCTGCAGTAGAGGAAACTAACTTACTTGCATTCCAGGATTTACTGTTCGGAAGAGATAAATGATGCGTTTACAGTTAAGGCTTTTATTGAAGCAGATAATGAATCGGAATAGTGTATTCTACTACAGAATAATTGTAACTCTATCTAAAAGAATGATATCCAGCCCTTTACATAGTTCTTTAACTTTGCGCTGCGCCCACAGGTGCAAATTACAATCTGAAGGGAGACGTGAAGAAAAAGTGATCAGAATCTTTCGTCTCAAAATAGAAGAAAATATTCTTAGCGCCCTTTATACCGAAACTAATAGAAATTGTGAAGTGGAAGTTTGAAGAAATGGCGATAATGTTAGTTATGCTACATTTAATCGCTAATTTAAATCTCCTTCAGAGTGAAGTACAGTACTACATTTGATATCGTAGAGAAAGCAAATGTATCCTCAACCATAAATATTATGAGGTAAGCGTAGAATGTCGAATTAAGATCAACTGACCGGTTGATAATTTAGCCGATAAATGTGAATATTCCTAATTCAAAAGAACTAATACTAAATTCTGTGATGTGAAATGTTTCTAGGCGACATGCTAGCTACTTAATAAAGAACACATTAGTCTTAAATTTCTTCCTCTCACTAACAATAATGCTAAGAGCTGTAAATAACGCGAATATAATTACCGTATTCACTTTCATCAATCTCGGTTTGTTTTCAATTTCATTCCCTTCATTAAAAATGCAAATTATCTTAGAATACCCTCGCTCTCAAGATACGATTTACAGTTCTATTTTTACCTATACACTTATTAGTAACTCAACACCTTACTGTATATAGTCATCTGTGCTCTAGCATAGAGTCTATACCATTACAGTCTATAGTTATAGCTACCAAATATCTCTTAGGATAAATATCTACCGTACATTATACTAAACATGGCTAACAGTCTACAGTACAATCACAATACTAGTTACATTACAGTAGTATTCTAAGAGGTGTGTAAAAGCTTGTAGATAAAATCTATTTAAACGATTGGATAAATTAATAAAAGTTAGTTCTTAGTTCCTAAGGTTAGAAGTATAACGTAAATCGAAGGCGCACGAATTATTGCGAGATCGTAGATTCGATCACAACGTTATCTTGTCATATGGGAGTTTGTGACAATACCCTATCTAGAGTTTATATTTCGTTTGGATAGGATCGAACCTATCTACATATAGCAATTTCAGTTATTTTACAGTAGCAATATGTTTTGAAAGTGTAATTCTAATATAAAGAAAATACTGTCATATAAATACAGTCGTTTAAGCTTCCTTATAGTACAGTTATTCAAATCAAATTGTAGAAAACTCCTTTTATTAGAAGTATTTACTGGAAGATTCTAGGAAAGAAAATCCGTGACACCTTAACTGCGTCTATTAAAGTGGCTTTAGAAATTGTAACCATAATGAGATAGCTAAAAACGCGGATGATTATAAGGATATGCATATAATGTACCGTAATGCTAGGAAGTACTTCTAAAGCTTGTACAAATAAATTCATGCATATAGCCAGCTGTGCCGATCTTGCATATCAATTTAAATTAAGAGAATAAACACCAGTACCACTGTTTGAAGCACCTTAATGATAAATAGGCAAAGATACCAATTCATTCAAAATATTTTGTATCTATAATTAGAGTTGTAGCTATAACCATTATAATCGTACTCTTTGCCTGTCGAAATAAAGTTGAGCTCCATCAAGATTAATATATCAGATCAAGGTATTGCTGTTGATAATGGTGTTTATAAACTAGATGACAACATCAATTTCATTATAGGCAATAAGCAACAAATGCATTTCAGATAACAACGATTTACTTTTTATGTGGGAGCAATGTTAAATTAACTTTATTTAAGTGCCAACGATATCAGTATATGGATTGCTTGATTATTACTAACTAGCTCAAAATGAAACGACATCTGATGCATTCAGATTTTAGATATAAGGTGGGAAAGCTAAGTATTACAGGAAATAATACAAATACATAATTATTCGCGACGGTTAAAATCTTTTCTATCTTTAGAAACTCCCTTGACAACAATACCGATTGCCTTAAAGGATCAAAGACCGGAAATACCGGCTACGACATTATTTTTAAATCTTGATACTATTTCTTCCAGCGTTAGTAGTACAGTCCAATGTACGCATTGAGTACTCCGTTCAAGTCGTTACTTACTGTTGTCGATTTCCAATCGCTATGTTTTACTAGGCATAACCGAGAAGGTTGCTAGGAAATAACTTTCCGTTAAAGCATAAATTAAAATACTTTCAGGTAGCAATACTTACAGATAACATAAGGATTGATATAGTTAATAAAGGCCACATACTTAACAACGTGGGTAAATTGTCTTATTAATATGATAACAAATGACGCTCTTATTGACGTTTCTTAACATATATTAGGATAGAATTTAGCATTTGTTATCGGTATTTGTGTAAGATAAAATTATTGCTGGGTACAGTCGGTCAGATTTGATAATTCATATATACTCGTAAACTTATGGTCTTCAAAGTAATGATAACGGTTCCAGTACGTTAGCTGAAGAGATTAATCTTAAACCATGTTTAAAGAATAATACTGATATCAGTATTGCGGCACTTATTACATTATTTCCGATTGATGCTTAAGGGTGTTCATTTTGAAGTCTTGAAGCTAAATTAAATAGTATACATTTAATGTTACTGAAAATATGAAACATATCTTTAATTGCTGATGCATGTGCATGTTCAACCATTAATAAAATTATTCACAAATAGATTACGCATAAGTGCAATTTACTTTCTCAACTGAGATAATGTTAGCTATCAAAAATATTGGTAATAAAATAGTCTACAAATACGTCAAAGTTTAAATTTAGTACTAAATGATATTGTCAAAGTTTGTATTTTCAAACACGGCATTTTGTAAAATCAATAGGTATTTCATGTGCTGTTACAAAACAGCTTTGCAATAAGATAACGTAATGCACGATCAATCAGTCCATTCCCTGAACCACGCATCAGGGAGCAGTATCTACTCTTTCAGGAACTCTTTCCCTATACTAGTAGACTACTAAAAGACTTAGACTCCTCGTATCTTACGTTAAACACTAATCATAAGAACTCACTTCATTATATAATTTATCGTATTTATATACTCTTTTACAATAGCAAAGACATCCTGGTTAGTATTATTAACATTGAAACCTGATAATGAATCAAAAGCTAATTTTATCTACTGCTCCATAATGTAGACAACAGTATTTACGAACATAGACATCGAATGACTAATACAAAATTGTCAGATTACAATATGTCCTATCTCGGAACATTTCTACGATAATCTACGATCTACTATTAGTAAATTACAATCACAGTGATTTGAATGGTAAGAAGATTATTCTCACTTCCCTAATTAAGCTACTAGTTTCAGTAGGCCGTATATATATATCACCATAAAAGCTAGTGCTATATTTAAATATCACATATCTAAATTAGAAACTCATCATATAAGGGTAAATCAACAAAATTATCCTAACATAGATGTCTCTACTATAATCTCGATATTACAGTGTATAACACTGTAACATGCGCCTAACCACATTTTAACATTTAAGAATACACCATGTTTATATATTGATTTCACCACATAAAAAATTTCATTATTAGGAGAAAGATCAGACAGAATTTGCTGAAATTTGCAGATGATTGCACTAAACTTCTTAAATATTGATTCAATTTTGTAACAACTTACCCAACCTATAATTTCCAACCAGGAGTCGTTATGACCAGTTGATTTATGACTTCTATCGCGTGTACTGTGTTTGCTTACAACGTTACTCTCTATTTTTGACTGGCAATATGTGATGATCTCATCACATAGTAGTAGAATACAATTCAAATCCTCCATCGATGCAGCTGCGAAACTGGGAAATTGCATATTGTCACCAAATATTTTGGCGGATGTAAAGTCGCCTAGTAGGCACTTAATCAGACCCTGTTGATTGAAACATTAGAAATAGGGCTTAAATCGAAAGTATAGTTAATTACGCTAAGTTAAATAATCTCAGAATTTTAAATAATTAAACGCGCTTTAAGCTAAAATTTACTCTAATTGTGCTAAGTTAGAATCCAATACAAAAGCGTAGCATTCAACGTACATTACGAAATTAAATACCATCAAAAGAAAAAAATATCATCTTCATAATCTTATTGCAGGCTATCAGTCATGCGTATTATTTACTAGTATTACCGCTTAACTTGAATAAATACTAAATATGTCCGAAATTAAAACAAGAGCTACTAAGAGCACAAATTATTAACTCTTAGTAGCGTAAAACTCAACACCAAATAACAAATTATAAATACGTGAGTAATGTGAAAGTTCAACAGATGTTGATTCCCCAAATCATGATTACAATTTAAGGATGTGCGTTGATGCGTACCGATACTTATCACATCTGTACGCAGTAAAAACAACCTACAACATGAACTTTAAATAAATTAGACTATTCAAGCAGTTCTAATAGTATTCATGTTACATTTTATATATTAATTAATGCATAGTCTTTTACTAACGTACCGTACCTCATCAATGATAACAATAAATATTGTGCGAGAGTTGATATTGCCGTGGATAATTAAATTAGCTCGCAACGATTTTACAGCTTTTAAAAGATCATTAAAAATTTGTTTAATAGATTCTGGAGTCAAGTATTCAGATTTGTTACACAGTAATTCGCGTAGAGTGGCTATTTCTTCACCAGGCAGCGAGTAACATACCATTCTGAAAAAATGTTTCATGTGCATGCAAGTAAATTTTGACACGCATTATTTTCTCTAGATATTTATAATTGGTATTATACAAGCTTATTTTTTTAAACGTGCTATTTACAGCTATCTATAAGTAAAGTTTATTACCTATGGCACTATTCCGGTTTGACTATAAAATAATTATTGTATAAATAGATTATGTGATAACTACTTACCGTTTACTTTGTAATTTTGCTGGAATCTTGAATCTATGGCTTTCTATTTTAAACTTAGGACGCTCTAATGCCCAAAGGCATTGTAGTATGTTCTCTACTCGCATTTCTTGTAGTTTAATATGACAATAAAACTGCTTCTCCTTCTTCCAATCTCCAGCCTCTTTCTCACTGTAATACTTGAGCCATGCAGTTGTGCTTTCTTTATTGCTCTGATAGATGAGTTTAACTTTGAAATAGTTCTGTGTGGTAACAGAAGTTGAAGAATTTACCCCTTGGCTTGGTATTTTTTTATGCTACGTCAACAATTCTATGAATTTTGTCCCTTAGTGAAGTTATCTGATGCAACTTTATACCATAAGAGCAATATTGAATTTAATAACTTCTATGCAATTAACATGTAATATTTCCGCACTATTAACTTACAGATGAAACAAAATCTGCTGCAGCAGTCCGAGCAATAGATATTTTTTCAAGGCATTTCGTCTTCTGATCTAATAAGAAAGACAACATGATATAAAAGATAACTTTAACATTCCATACTCACAAATCATATGAATAAGAATACCATTGTGCAATGTTTCGCATTCTATATTCATGTTGTCAAGGTGCATCGTAAAACTCGACTAAATCCAATTACTTCTTGTGATAGCGAGCGATACTTAATTTATCTTTCAAAAAGACTCAATAATCGTCTTCTTCACGATATTTCAGTTCTTGTAAGTATAAAACTACTGGTGCAATAGAAACTGCATTTTGCATGATAATTATGAGTGATCATAAATTCTGCCTTCGTACTATTGTTTACAGTTTTGTGTATTAGCTATTGGAATAGTAAGCTATCGTGAAAATGAAAGTAAGTTAATGATTTAGATATCTATTGTATAAATGGAAGTGTACCTTCGAAACATGTCACAGTTAATATTGAGCGTTTCAGATAATCTTACTCCAACTTACTTCCAATTTGATAGTAAGACCGATCTTGAAGTAAATCTTTACTACTGGCCCATTTTACCTTATCACAGCAGTTTCCAAGAGATCTTACAATTCTAATAGAACGATCTAAAAATGTTTGAGTGAACATCGTGTAAATTATTGGATTAATACACGAATTAAGCGGTAAAGATAAGACAGCAATAAATGGCAATACATGAGTGTCCAACTCAGAGTTGATTAAGCCGATAATCAGAATAGCATAAAACGGAAGCCAGCATATAAGATCAGTAGCTACAATAGTAATCATCTTTGCTACAATTATTTTATCTAATCTGGAAATTTGAACATTTGCCTCGCGACGAGATTTTGCTAATGTAATAATAATGCCAGAATACATAATGCTGATGATAGCCCAAGCCAAGAATGTTACACCGCAATAACATAAAAGCCATAATAATAGATAAGGATTGCTAATATTACCGGGCAAACAAGCCCCATTAACGCTATGCAAACGATTATTAGGTGTCTGATTAAAACCATAAATTATTGGTAAACCTGTAAATACGGCAGAAATTGCCCAAACAATAAGGAAGATATTGAATATCTGTCTGTAGGAAAGACGATAATTTTGAAACGGATAGACTAAATATAAGTAACGATCCAGTGTTATAAGAAAAATGACCAATGTCGACACGAAAGTAGAAATTGAGACTAGAAAAGAACATATTGAGCAAACTGTACTCCGTAACCAAACTTCGTGGTATTCAGCATAGACTCCAGAAAAGTAGATGTTGGCTGATGCGATAGTTGTCAAGTAAATACCCATCAGCAAATCTGCTGTTGACAGATTAATAATTAAAGATCTGACAATAATATAGTCCTTGTTTTTCCCATTTGTATGCCATATAATTGAAACGATATTGCCAATGATGGACAGGACTCCAATTAGCCAAATGAAAACTCGTAGTACTCCATGTGATAAAATATCTGAGCAAGTTGATAAACTGAACTGATCTGGTAAAGGCTGGCAAATAGTTACAGATCTTCCAACGTAACAACATAGATAATCGAGAGTTGAAAGTCTAGTATCAACAAAGAACTTACAGTCAATGCAATCATTTTTTAAGTTACATTCATGTTGGTAAAATATTTAACATTTATTAGCATTTCAGTTTCTGCATAATTGTTCTAAATAGTATTAAATATTAAGCAATATTATTTAGACTTGTAGATTGTATTACTGAAGATACTTGGTATATAAGTGCTATGGTTTTACTTTCAATTTATTAATCTGGTAAAGGAAATCTTCCTAGTACTATACGATCAATTAGAATTACCCTTCTGATGCTTGTTTGTTCAACATATTGATATTTTATTTCATTTAGGTATTGTAGCCCAATTTAACACCATTTAACTATTTCATCACTCAATTAATTCTTATTTATAAATAATTTCTTGTATAGGAAGATAGTTCTTAATAATTTGATGAATAAATTAGTAAATACTTTCAATTACTACAATTCATATCAGAACTAAAAACTTTATTTATCATCACAGTAATTACCTATATTCCCAATTTGTTGCACAAAGGTTTTACAATAAATTTTTGATAGAATCTGTTATAATCTCTCAAGTTTGTAATGAAATACGTCCCTTTAATACACTATCAACAAATCATTGTCAAACGGTGCTATCTCGTTAATTGTAACAGAATGATGCTAAATACCATTCAAGATTTAAAAATTAAATATGCCAAATGTGGCAGCTACCCTAGAGCAGATAAAGCAAAATTTCCAAACTTTTGTGGTATTAAAATCTCAGCAAACCGTAAACTATCTAAACTTAGAAATAAATTACCGTTACATGCAATTACGGTAGCCGGTGATGTTGCTAAAATTGATGGTATATATATAGCCCTGATCGGTAAAATATTTAATTTTCTCTACGCTATTTGTTAACTCACTATCACTGCATTCTAATTTTATATTTTGGCCTAAATATAAAATGAAGTCATTTTAGTGTTTGCTAAAACTGGAATTATTCTGAACTTACTACTATGGGTACTCTTTATTACATTGAAACAACACTGCCTGGTATACCAACGCCAAAAATACTAATTAAAGTTATATCTAATAGTCTTATGCAAGGGTTGCCTGAGTAAGATACATGTATCTAGCGATATTATTTTCCTCTGCTTTGAAAATGAATATTGAAGAAGTTGAGTATAAAAAATGTATTATTAAAAAATTAGTTTAAAAGAACTTTTCAACGTATAAAATTTATAGGTCGTGTGCAATCTGGTGGGCTTTTATTCTAGATAAATCTAACGTCTTAAATAGATTTACATGAAGGCTTTCAAATAGATTTGTAGACTACGCCGCTAGAAATCAATTTACGAGTATAATACTCTACTTACAAATCTGTCATACCAGTGCTTCCAAGTAGAGAGTGGGTTGTAAATTCTATCAAGGGATTATTTCTTAAACTTCTATAAATATGAAAATAATAATAAAATTTTAATGAAGATTTAATTTTAGTCTTATCCTTCACTGTTTACTTACAAATGGCGAATAAATGGAAAGCTATTTAGACAGAAAGGAGTTAATTTCGAAATCTGGTTGTTATTGATACTCCTTCAATTTTAGATGTGATAGAAATTGAAATAAGTATAAAAGTTGTTTCAGAACATTTGCTAATTCAATAAATAAAAATAGTATATTTATAAATACAACTAGATACTAAAGAAAAAAAGATTGGCCTTAATTTATCGTGCATTATACATGAAATGAGCTGGATAAAATAACATGCAAGCTTATTTAACTGCTACATTATTGGAAAAATAAATTCAAACATACAGCTTCAATAATTTCGAAGCAGCTGCAGTAAATTTCGCAGGTACGCACATATCAGTTATGTAATTGTTATCGACATTTCTGTAACAGAACCAATATTAATATTAGATTGAGATCCATACCAAATATATTTGGCTTTTAATAATCGCTATCTGCCACTAACGATTGAAAATATTGATGTTATGGCAATGCTGTTTCTAACTTACAAAAATTTCAGACTTCCTCGACTTAAAAGTGATAAATAGTCACTAGTTTCGAGTTGATTGTCGCTTAGCAATCTAATCAAACCAATATAAAAGTAAAATTCTTACATTATCATGAAAATTTCTATAGTTAATGTAGACTCCTATTTTAGCAATTACGATAAGGGCGACATAATTGGTAAATATCCCTCGTTAATAAATTGAAGCTTCCAATATCTTCATTCATTAAAAGTGATTAATAATTTTTAAGAGCAAATTTCTATCTCTGTATTTTTGCCGTACAAATCCTCAATATTTGTTGAAGGTGGAAGCGTTTTAAGACCAATCGTCTTTAGTTGGCAGCTTATCATTATACTATATATAGAAATTGAAATCGTTACATTCCTTATCTTGAACTACGAGATTAACAAATGTGTTAAGAAAAAGATTCAATCCGTAAATATCTCCTTAACTTATTTAAGAAACTTACAGTTGTTGTATTTCATGTATCCTTGAAAATAGACCCTCAGGTAATTGACCGAACCTGTAGCCACTCAAATGTCTACAATTTGTTCATGAAAATTACTAAAATCATTTTATTTGAAGCCATAAATACCAACTATTATTATAGCAATTATTTCGAAAATTAATTGATTATTAAGTGATAAAAGTACAATTTGTTGTAATACGTCCTTGCAGATAGTATTGCAAACAAACTTGTAACAGAGATGTTGGTGTAGCTCAGTCCCCTAAAATAATATAATTATGTACTAGTTATACCAAAAATTAGAATGCATTCAAAAGCATTTGGTAAAGCTACATCAGCTAGAATAGTTTAAGTGATTATCATAGAAATTATGATCCTCTGAATAAGAGACTAGTTTACAGTAGCACTCATATTAATAACACGAAACCATTTAGCTAGCAGTTATAAAGAGTACTAGAATATTATTTGAAGGCCTTTATTTTTTCCTTCATAAAATGTAGCAATCGTTGATTAAAAATGCAGATACCACACTGATCAGTTTAGGGTATTTATCTCGTGTAAATCGCGGTAAATATTAATAAAAGGAGCTTAAAAATCGTAACATAGTAAACTAAGGTATACTTACAGGCTTTTTAGATTTATCAAACTGGTAATCAGAGTCTTGTTAAGATCGGTTAAATTGTTTTCGTCTAAAAATCTTCGATATAAAATCCATGTACAAATGATAATTCCGTTACAAGCAAGCTTTAGTTAAAATGTGCTATAATCCATTTGCTTTTAAATAATGCCTTAAATTATTCTCGGGAAAATATATAAAGGATTTACGAGCGAACGAAAGAATATTTTCAGTATTTATTCTTATTACCAGCAACTGTTCCACATTAGCTGAGATAGGTTTAATTTTGTCCGTATCCTAACTTAAATGGCTTAACTAGGAAACTCGACTATTTTGATCGTAAAAGCAAAATAGTGCTTATGCATGTTGGACACTTACGAGCGGTCCTCGTAAATTTGAACTGTAATGAACGTAAGAATATATGAACATAACGAGATTTTCTTATTGTAATTCTAAATGGTTTGGTTATCGTGATTATAGTTGGTACCAATATGCGTATGCTTACAGCGATATTATAGCCAACAGTGGTAGGATAGAACGATAATGGCGAATAACCTTCGTGTACTCATAACTGCATCCTACGCTCATTGATACACGTATCTGTATGGTAGGACCGCACTTCAACGCTATATTGGAATATGAGTATATAAGTACAGTATTGAGTAACTACTCGAGATTTCTTAGGATTAATTGCCTCGAGGAAAGCGCATTGTTAGTTTCGATTTACAAATCTAAAGAAGAAATAAGAATCTTCCTAAATTTAACTACGGTCGAGTGTCAGTAGATAGTGTTAACGAGCATGGAGCCGTTGCTGAATATGACATTATTATATACTGTATTAGAGTAGAAATATCTATGTTAGGATAATTTTATTAGCCTATCCTTATTTAGTTAACTTTTAATTTGGATATACTGTGATTTAGAATAACACTGGCTTTTTATGACAGTGACATATATACAAATACTGAAATTATTAGTTATATTAGGGAATACGAATTATCTACTTACAGTTGGAATCATTGTGATTGTAGCTTACTTATGGTAGATTGCAAATTATCGTGGAAATGTCCCGTGATAGAACATATCGTAATCTGACTATTCTGTATTAGTCATCAGGTGTCTATGTTCGTAAATACTGTTGTCTGCATTAGGGAACAGTAGCTAAAATTAATATCTAATTCAGTGAATAATTCCAAAGTTAATCGTACTAACTATGACTTATGAACTATTGAGGAAGAGTATAACATATATAAACGCAATATGTCGTGTAATAAAGTTAATTCTTAAACTTAGTGCTTAACGTAAAATACGAGGCGTCTAAGCCTTTGTGTAGTCTGCTAGTAGAGCAAAAGCGTTCCCGATAGTGCGGATACCGTTCGTTATATCGAATTATAAAACTGAAAGTGGGCATAGTCCATTCGATATTTTAGTACTGCATTCTAAATTATCTTTATTGTGTAATAAAATGTCCAGCATCGTCCCTGTCAACCCACATTAACTCTAGCCTTCACAATCCATATCGCTAATCTAATGGTGTTAAAATCAGTCAAGTGATTGAACTCAACAGTAACAAATTTTTAGTCTAAATTATCTGATATAGTTCTGGATTATAATGCAGAATTTGGATATTTAGAAATTTAGTCAGCTAGCATTTGTCTCAGAGTTTGCCTTTGAGAGAAAATTTATATAAGAAATCAAATTAATTATATTTCGTATTGAGTTAAAGTTGCACTGATGAGAAATAATAAATATAGTAACTCTATCACAATTTGCTATCGAAATAGAGCATTACTGGAAATTTGTGATAATAATACAGTTTTGTTCGCTATACATCCGCTAAATGATTCGTGAACATTTTCTTACTCACAGATTCTGAATATCCGATATCCTTTCAAAAAATTCATTATTGAACGTTGATGAATTTAAATTGCAAAATTTCATTCCCCTAATCAAAAGTTAGCTGGGATATTAAACTTATTCATAAATGGTAAAGTGTACATTTTTTTAATTATACGGTATCTCGTTATAAAATAGTTTATACTGATAAGGTAAAAAACTCTGGATTTCTATAAGAAAATAGTATATTTATACAAAGTATTAAGAGATCCAAGATGATTAAGGAAACGAAAATCTATTTTTCGCAAATTGACCATATAATTCATATTTCTAAGAAAAGTGGTAAAAAAGAATTGCAAAACATCAAAATAAGAGTCTTTTCTAGATTTT